TATATATATGCCAGTGAAAACCTTATGAATAGCAGTGGAATATTGTGTGTTATAGTGCCAGAAGATACAGTGTTGGCAAAGAATGTTAAATATTCCATGGTCTGCTAGAAGAGCAAACAAATCTGCCTTGGGAGAAGTACAACCAGAATACTCCTTAGAAGCGAGGATGGTGAGACATCATGTACTTTGGACATGTTGTTAGAAGGGACCAGTCCCTGGAGAAGAATATCATGCTTGGCAAAACAAAGGAAGACTCTCAATGAGATGAATTGACACAGTGGGTCAACAATGGTCTCAAACATAGCAAAGATTGTAAGAATGATGCAGGACCAGGCAGTGTTTCATTCTGTTGTACATATGGTCTCTATGTGTTGGAACCAACTGGACAGCACCTAACAACAACAACAATGCCTGTGGTTATAATCTCATTAAGTAATAGGTCACCTTTGGTATGCTAATGATATAAGATTAGTGTAGAGGCTGTTTTAGGTTAATCTCTTTTGAGATAGAAAAGAGATTAAAAAGTAAGCAAAAGAAGCAGAGATAGATACAAAGACCCATGTTATTGTTGTTGTTATGTGCCCTTGAGTTGAACCGACTCATAGTGACCTCTCCTTGGGTTTCTGAGGCAGTATCACTACAGAAGTAGATTGCCCCATCTTCCTTCCAAGGAGTGGCTGGTGATTTTGAACCACCAGCCTTCTGGTTAGCAGTCAAATGCCTTAGGCACTACGCTACCAAAGCCCCCACAGAGACACATAGAGATCTCAAAGGAACCAGGAAGCAGAAGTTGAAGCGCAGAGAGAACGCCATAGAGCCAGCTCTCTGAATTAGGATTTCCACTTATTCAGTCTGTATGCTGAGCAAATAATTGGAGAACCTGGATTATATGAAGAAGAATATGACATCAAGATTGGAGGAAGACTTGTTAGCAACCTGCAGTATGGAGATGACACAACCTTGCTTGCTGAAAGTGAAGAAGACTCGTAGCATTTACTGATGAAGATCAGAGACTATAGTCTTCAGTATGGATTACACTTCAACATAAAGAAAACAAAAATCCTCACAACTGGACCAATAAGCAACATCACGATAAATGGAGAAAAGATTGCAGTTGTCAGGGATTTCATTTTACTTGAATCCACAATTAACACCCATGGAAGCAGCAGTTAAGAAATCAGACATTGTACCACAGTGAGCAAATATGCAAGAAAAGACCTCTTTCAAGTGCTAAAGAACAAAGATATCACTTTGAAGACTAAGGTGCAAACCTAAGTCATGGTATTTTCAGTTGCCTTGTATGGGTGCGAAAGCCGCACAATGAATAAGGAAGACTGAAGAAAAATTAATGTCTTTGAATTGTAATGTTGACAAAGAATACTGAAAATACCATGGACTGCCAGAAGAATGAACAAATCTTTCCTGGAGGAAGTGCAGCTGGAATGCTCCTTGGAAGTGAGAATTGTCAGTCTTCATCTCACCTACTTTAGTCGTGTTGTCAGAAGGGTCCAGTCCCTGGAGAAGGATATCACCCTTGGTAAAGTGGAGGGTCAGTGAAAGAGGGGAAGACCCTCAGCAAAATGGATTGACACAGTGGCTGCAATGATGGACTGAAGCATAGCAGGGATTCTGAGGATGGTCAGTGTTTTGTTCTGTTACACGTAGGGTCACTATGAGTTGGAGATGACTTGATGTCACCTAACAATAACAACAAACTGTCAGAAAATAAATTTCTGTTTGTTAAAGCCACCCATTCATTGTATTTCTGTTATAGCAGCACTAGATTACTAAAGGGAGCTCTGGTAGCATAGTGGCTAAGACACTTGCCTGCTAACCAGACGGCTGGTGGTTCAAACCCACCAGCCACTCCTTGGAAGGAAGGTTGGGCAATCCTACTTCCGTAAGTGATACTGCCTCGGAAGCCCAAGGAGGGGTCGCTGTGAGTCAGCTTTGACTCGACGGCACATAACAACAACAACAACAACAGATTACTAAAACAGAAACCCTATGGGGCAGTTCTACTCTGTCTTCTAGAGTTGGTATGAGTTGTTACTGACTTGACAGCAGTGAGTGTGTGTGTGTTAGCTCTGTCTATCCTAGTGTTGTCACACCTTTGGCCTCAGGGCTGGGAAGAGGTGGAGCTATGACTGCCAGTCCTCTGTTCTTTCCACCACACCGGGCTGCCTCCTGTGAAAGGAATTTCAGACCATGAGTAAAACATGTGGGGGAGATATTTTTAGACCCTTGATTTGCCCTTGAGGGTGGCCCTGAGCATAAATCTGCTTTCCGGGTTTTAATGCTGAGGTTGAGGCAAGGAGACTGGGCTCTTAAGACTATAGGTATTAGCTCTACCAAGGTTGTCACATGGCTCCAGGAAGGACATGAGGTAGAGACTGTTGCACCACCTCCCTCAGCCTGCAGCTTGTTCCTCCTTGGACAGGCACTGTGCTTAGGTACTGAAGAGGCCAGGGCTTGTTGTCAAGCAATCTAGCTGTGTGATCCCAGGCAAGTTACCACACCTTGAACAGCCTGTGTATTTATCTGTAAAGAGGTATAATTGTGCCTATTTTATAGGTTTTGGCCAGTTCATTTAGTTGCTTCTTCATACGCTATGCTCAGTCTCTGTGGCCAGCAATTGCACAGTTTTCCACCATAGAGGATGTGGTTACTTTTCCATTGGCAACTCTGCTCCCCGCCACCTCCCCAACCCCAGATTACCAATACTTGACAACCAATGAAACCAAGCCAAACTAGAAAGAGCAACTAAAACGTTGGGCTGTGACTGTGGAAAATACTTAGTAATGTGAACTCCACACTTTGCCTTCCCAATGATCAGGCAACATGGTGTTGGGTGAATTTTTAAGATTTATGTGCATTTTTGTCCCATCTACACAGCGTGTTGCTCATCCCTCAACATCATTAAGGGCCCAGGAACCACACAGCTTTTGCATCCTCTTCCTCAGAGGCTTGGGGGCACCTGTAAACAATGGGTTGTGCCTCTGCCAATCAAGACAGATTCAAAGAGACCAAGGAATTGGTTTCAAGCCTTAAGCTCTGAGTAAAGTTTTGCTTGAAAACTTACTTTAAAATCTTTAAAACCATTGAGTTAGAGGATATGAAGAAAATTACTTTTCCATACAATGCAAACAAAATATTTTTCACACACACAACACATATACACACAATGTATGAGACCCTCCTGGAAGAAACTATAGAGCTATTGGGATATTTATAGAAGGATTCCATATATGGGGAAATGCTATATCAAAGTGAAACAGAAAAGAAAACTGGAAGAAAATATACATGTCTGTTTCATCCCAAGGAAGGGGAAGAACACCATATACCTTAAAATAACAGAAGACACTTAGAAATAAGAATGGAAGGAAAATCACAATAGCTATTTTAGTGGTACTTTTCTTCCCTAGGAGCTCTGGTGATGTAGTTGTTAAGGCATTTGGCTGCTAAACAAAATGTTGGTGGTTCGATCCCACCAGCCATACCGTGGAAGAAACATGAGGCGTCTGTAAAGGTTTGCAGCCTTGAAAACCTGATGGGGGTCACCATGAGTTGGAAATGACTCGATGGCAGTAAGTTTGCTTTGGTTTACCCCCTATATTTTCCATGGAAAAAAAATCTGGTCTTAGATATAAATAAATCTTTTAATTGAAGGGAAATAAATTGATTTTAAAAATCAAATTTAGTTAAAATCAAGACCAAATTACTTGCAAAGTTCTTGAATAACTGTCAAGCTGGTAGTGAGTTATTAATCTAAGCAACATCTACTTAAGCTTTTAAAAATGTAACATGTGAAAAGGAGTGAACAGATATCTCAGACCAAAAAGGAAAATGATACATTTTCCTTTTTAAATACGTAAAATGATGACCTTTGAGCCTTTTTAGGGCAAGAAAGTGTTAGTTCTTTTGCCCAGCATCTTGTCCTTTCGATCCTTTGTTAATAGAAAAAGAAATACCCTTCCACTTGAAGGAATAGATGGTCTCCTATCCCCCATTTTTAAATAGGTTCAGGTTCTTCTAACCCAATGGAGCTTTCTGCAGTGGTGGAACTGTTCTATCTCTGCCCTGCTCAAAATGGTAGCCACTAGCCACTTGAAATGTAGCTGGTGTGACTGAGGAAATAAATTTTGAATTGTTAAAAATTCTAATTAATTTAAACATAGCCACCTACGGCTTGTTGCTGTTTCTCCATTCCAATGTATGGCGACCCCATGTGCGCAGGGTAGAACTGTGCTCTATAGGGTTTGCGAGGCTGTGGCCTTTTGGAAGCAGATCACCAGGCCTGCTTCTGAGAGACCTGTGTGGATTCAAACCACCAACTTTCAGTTTTGTGCCCCAGAGATTTGGTTGCCATGCTGGGCAATGTTGTGTTTAATACCTTTACACTGCCCCTCTGTTGGAAGCACAAATGGACAGAGAGGAGAAGTGGTCGGGGCTGTTTGAAAGGACACCATTTGCTCTTCCACTTTCTGAAGGCCCCCATCATCTCTGTACAGCTTCTGCAACTTCCCTCTTTTGCATAAAAACTATTTGAACCAAAGATCATTTTGACTAGAGAGTACCAGGAAGAAGGTGCTGGAAATTTGTTTAACCTTATGGTAATTTGTCTCTGATCCACTTCCCAACAAGGGAGCAGACGTAGCTGCTGTATCTATTGAGAAACTATTTACATATCTCTGCTCAAGGGATCTGGTGCCTGTGTTTTGGTGTTCTTCCTCTCTTAGTCAGAGAGCCCTGTGTGAGAATGTTTCAGTTTGGAGGTTTTGTATCATCTGTGGCTAATTTTGCACAAAATCAGTCCCGACAAAGGGACAGAATCTATGCAGGAAGTTCACTCAGCTGGCCACCTTCTCCATGTGGGTCTTCCTGGATCTCTACCACGGAGCATGCACCAGGCATCAGGGAAACCTGTGGACCTCTCAAATCTCCCATCCCTATACCTTTCAATTTACTTTCAAATGTGGATATTTTTGTGGTTTGTGGTTTGAGAACCACAGCATTAGAGTCATCAAGAGGGCTTGCTGACAGAACCACACCCCCAGAGTTTCTGATTCAGTGGGTCTGGGGTTAGATCCTAGGATTTGCATTTCCAACTAGTTCTCAGGTAATGGTGATGCCGCTGGTCTAGGACCACACGTTGAGAACCACTGTTTAGTGGAATCTTCCTTCCTTCTGCCTGGGGAGGAAGAAGAGTGTTGCCCTCCCTGACCCCCCTTGGCTTTTTAGGTTTTGCTACGTGCTCAATCTGACCCTTGGAGTCTGCTCCTTCTCTTTGCTTCTTGCTTGCTTTTTGAAACTCACACCCTTAGCCTCAGAGTCTAAACACTTAGAGAGTTAGCAGCTCCTTAAAGATGCTGAGCTGCCAGAAAAGTACCTAGGGAGTAGTGGACTTTGGGGCTGAATGAAAACCCTGGATTACTGTGAACATAGTTTTTTCTAACAGGCCTTGGAAGACTTAGGAGCTGCAGATCTCATTCAGTGTGGTCAGTCAGGGTTGTGAGGTTGCCCACACCACCTTATTTATTCTTCAGACTTTTTATAGACTCATTGGATGTTCTGAAAACAAAGATACCTCCTTTGAATTGTCCCTGGGAGATTACTTTTCTAGAATGGAATAAAAACATAAGATAAAGGTTGCTTGTTTTTGCTAGGTTGGCTCATAGAATACCAACAGAGAATGTCCCATCCCTGTTCTCATCTCCTCCCCTACCACAAGAGTCAGGGAGCTAAAATACTTCTTGGCAGTAAGATGCTCTGTCCTTTCTGGTAAAATAATCAGCTGTGCACCCATGTCAGGGGGTTTCTGACAGGGCCACCGAGGGATATTCTGTTCCCAGGGCACAGGAAGACTTTATGATTAACTTTGGCCATGATTTTCTCTGGTATTATTATTTTGACAGTGGTTTGGATAAATGGTTTAAGTGGAAGATAACATTTAATAAGCACTACCTAAGGCATTTGGCTGCTAACCAGAAGGCTGGCAGTTCAAACCCACCAGGCACTCCTCGGATGGAAGGTTGGGCAATCCACTTCCGTAGTGATATTGCCTCAAAATCCCAAGGAGGGGTTGCTATGAGTCAGATCCGACTTGACAGCAGTGAGTTTGGTTTTTGGTAGTGTTAAGCACTTTTTATTATGTATTAACTCTTTTAATCCTTTCAGTAGCTCTGAAAGGGCAGGTATTGTGACTACTTCCATTTTATAGATTAACATATGAAAACCTCAAAGGGATAAGGATCTTGCCCACTAGTTAGCACCTTTCAGAGTTCAAAGACCATATCCTTCATGTCTGTGCTCTTCTGCCTCCTTGCTCATCTTCCTGTATTGTGTGCCCTCAGCTCTTTGATCACATTGCCCAGTGCCTGGCCAACTTCATGGGCCAGCTACAAATCAAAGACAAGAAGCTCCCGCTGGGTTTTACCTTTTCGTTCCCCTGCCACCAGACGAAACTAGATGAGGTAAGATGGGCTCTTCAGACACTTTCATTCCTTCATCCTTGGGGCTGGGAGGATGGAATGCGTTGTTCAGACAAAGTGTGAGTATTGAGAGTTCTGTCCTTTTGAATGAATTCTTGCGTGTGCACACATTTGTGGGTGTAGGAGTGAAGGAATGGTGACAGAGTGTCAGAGTATGGGAAGGTCTTTATCATTCATTCCTTCTCCCACTCCCCAATATCCCCTCCCCTATTTTATTTCATCTTTATCCCTCTCAGGGAACAGGACTGAGAAATTAATCAGGAACAACCCTGACCTATATATAGTGTTATGATAAAGATCCTAGAAAGAAAGATAACTGGGAGGTTAATGTCTTTTGGATGGCTGACATTGACATAAATATGTTACATGGCTCTATAAAAGTAAAATATAAGTATCTTATTTTGACAGTTCTATAACTTCCTTTTTCCACTTCTCTGGGCAGTAAATCATGAAGGAGTCATTAATTTAGTCTCTACTTTCCTGGTCTTTGATGGGCCTGAGTTTCTTTTTCCAAGGCAAGTTAGATTTTAGTTTTGTTTAGCCCTGTGGCAGCAGTCTAAGCTAATGATCCTTGTTTCAGATGTGTGATCCGAGTTTTGGTTGGAGGAGTCAATGCTTATTCCTTGGTTCTTTTCCAGAGTTTCCTGGTCTCGTGGACTAAGGGGTTCAAGTCCAGTGGTGTGGAAGGCAAGGACGTTGTGGCTTTGATCCGGAAGGCCATCCAGAGGAGAGGGGTGAGTGGGGGTGGCTGGTGCGAAGGCCACAGTCATGGTGGGAGCTTGGGGTCTGGACACTCTTTCCCTTGCTCTCCAAAGTCTTCCTCTGTCTGCCCTCAAATATGCATGTGAACATTTTGTGGTTCTTCTTAAGGGGAGGATTTTTTTCTTCTTCCCCTGCCATGCTTTCCCAGTAACCTTCTATATGACCAGATGCTGCTAGGATTTTCAGAGTAGCACAAGAAATAATATTAGTCATGGTGCCAGAAATCCCTTTAGTCCTTAAACTGAAGAAGATTTTAATATATCTGTCAAGAAAACAGGGATGACGTTGACTTTGGTATAAAACAGGGCAGAGAGAAGACACAATAATGGTCTTATCACAGAAGGATTTATTGGCAGAGAAAGAGGAGAAGACAAGGCAAGATGAGACATTTTCTTCTTAGTTCAGTGATGGTTAGCTATAAGCAGGATTGCAGGGGCCTAGGTCAGGAAAGTCTTCCATGATGAAGATAAGCAGAGCATAGAGTGGGTTGGCATGAGTGAGTTGCTATTATACTGTATCTGGAACTGGGTTTTCAGCTCTTAGTTTCTTTGTTCTGCATAGGGTTGGTGAGGGGTATCACTTGCACCTGAGCTCTGTACTCACTGCTTTTTCTCTTTTTCTTCACTTCTGTGACCTTCTGTGATGTTTGAAGTTCAGAGCTCTCCTTTTATTCCCACAGGACTTTGATATTGATATTGTGGCTGTAGTGAATGACACAGTTGGGACCATGATGACCTGTGGTTATGATGACCAGAACTGTGAGATAGGTCTCATTGTGGGTGAGTGAACACTGGGGCATGGGGGCTGGTGTTGGCCAATGGATGAGGGTGTGGGCTGGAAGGGAGGAGGGGTTAGTGGCCTGGGTCTTCCTTTGTACTTCATATGTGAAGATAAGTGATGTGGTCACTTTGGCAGGCTGAACCAGAACACTGTGATTCTGCTTTCCCTTGTGGTGGTTTTAGGTGTAAGGAACTTTATGTTTCTACACTGAGCCAAGGGGCCAAGAGAAAAGTCATTGTAAATGATCTGGATCACATGAAGGCTGCGTGCCTTGTTGATTAGTGTTCTATTTGCTCATGGAGCTCCAGCTGGCAGAGGTTGGAGATGTGTATCAGGATGCCCTGAGAGTCTGCAGTGAGACCCCCAGCAGCCTGGGCTATCTTAAAAGATAGGGGATAAGAGGAGACATGTGGTGGGGGCAGAGGTTGATGTAGGTGAATGCTGAGTAGTTTCTTGCTTTGCCCAGGCACAGGTAGCAACGCCTGTTACATGGAGGAGATGCGCCACATCGACATGGTAGAGGGTGACGAGGGGCGAATGTGCATCAACATGGAATGGGGGGCCTTTGGTGACGATGGCATGCTTGATGACATTCGCACTGAATTTGACCGGGAGATCGACATGGGCTCACTGAATCCTGGGAAGCAACTGTGAGTAGAAACCCCTGTGGCGGGGGGGCGGAGCTTGATGGTGGGAGGGGTTGGCCCAGGAGGTGAGCTTGGGTCTGGGCTAGGGCTGAAAGATGGTTCTCATATTTTTCTTATATCCCTAAAGGGTTGCCAAAGACACTTGCTGGTTAGGGGGATGTTTTGACTATAAATTGACGAGATAGCTCTAAAAAGACAGAGCAAGCAAATAGACCAAATTATCACTAATAATTTGGCTATGCCCTTTAGACATTTTAAAAGATCATATTCTAAGTGTGTGACCCTGCTCTTTCTTTCTGCCTGCTGTTTGTAAATTGTCCATGGATAAATTTTTGAACCACATATGAGAAGTCATGTGGAGATGGGCCTAGATTGGGCTCTCTGAAATATCTTTTCATAGCTTCCACTCTGTCTTCTACCCAGAGGACAAGGCTCAGATGATCAGTCCTAATTTACTGGCTGAGATTCTGACTCAGACCTCAGGCAGAGCTCTCGTGAGCTAGGCTGAACTCCAAAGAGTACCAGGACCTCTTGCTCCAGCTATAGATCAACCTAGCACCTACTAGAAAAATTGGTTAAGGACTCCCTTTGGCTTCTTTCTCTGGACCCTGTGGCCCAGGGAGTGCCCTGGGATGTGACCATTTTATCAACACCACCCTCCCAACATTTTGATCCCTGAATGCTATACTCTTCAGCCTAGCTAGAGTTAGTTTTTAATTACTTTTGACTCTTATGAAACATTAGTTCACTCTCACAAACATGTGCCAAATCTTGAAACAGAGATCATTGCAAGATCTGAAGGCCATTGCAAAATGTTTTGAGCAATGCAGTACCTCTTGAGTCTTCTTGTGGCCATGATTGTTTTAGGAAAGCTTTTAACACATCTTTTAGGAAAGTTTTTAACAGATCTGTCCTTTGAGGGAAGAATTCTAACTCTATCAACCAGGCCAACGGTGGACCTTTCTCTTTATGGGAGAGTCCTTTCTTCCTCAAAGTATAGCTTATTTAAGTCACAAACTTCTGTCACATGTTGAAATGTGAGTCCATTGACTTATAACTTTCTTAGGAACATACTGGTTGTGTCTGCCCTGGGTAGTGAGAGAGCCCTTATGGGCCCTTATGGGCTCTCTTACAGAAAAGTCACTCAATCCCTTCCTTCATTAATGAGGCACACACAAGTCATTCCAGTAGCCATATGCCCTTCGAAGTGTCAAAAGACAGGATTGCCAGCTGAACCTGTCAACACCAGCACACCACTGGCTTGTCCTTAGACACAGCAAAATTGGCAGAACATGTACCAAATTGTCAACCATGGCAGCCCTGTGGTCATTATAGACAGCTTTTTGTTCTCTTGGTATGTTTCTAAATAAATATATTTCAAATATTGACTGAAACAAGTGCCCTAAAAAGTGGAATAAAAAAATTTAAAAGCCACTCACTTAAAAGAGCCCACTCCCTCACTTCCCCACCTCCTACAGGAGTGCCAGCATTGTGGCTTGCTTAAGCAGGAGAAAATAAGAAAGCAGACAGGCTTATTCTGCACCATTTACACAGGGCACTGTGCCCTTGCTGGAGCTAAAGTGTTTTAAATGCACCCTCTGTTCAAGCAACTTGCCAGCTCTCCATTTAGCTCCAATTCTTCTTTCTTTAGCCTTGGAGTCTTGAGCAGGTCACTTCCTGGGGTCCTCGGTTTCCCTTCTTGTCAATGGCACTAGGTGATGTCCGGCACATCTGCTCCCCTGCTCTGGGCCTCTTCCTTGCTGTAGCCCGTTCTAGTTAGTTCCAGCAGTCCTGGGTGCCTCCTCTCTCTGGGACCCAGATCCTCACTGAGATGCCAATAAATAGGCCTGCTTTGCCAAAAAGAATTGCAAGGGCTTGGTTTTCCCTGTCACTTATTCCTAGCCAGAGAGACTGTTTCAAGAAAGAAAATGGTGTCACCTAGTGCTGGAAAAATAAATTACCTGATGGCTCTTTCAGGTTGGTGGCTGGCCCCCTTTCTAAAACAGGACTTTTACCTTGTCACTCGCCTGCTCTGGAGCTTTGACCATGCCTTACTCCCAGATTCCTGAGACCACCCGCCATTTAGAGCTCCTACTCTGTCTTAAGTTGCCCTTCTGATCCTGCCCCATCACCTCCTGCCCGAGTTGTTGCCATGCTCTCAAGATTCCACAAAGGGCCAGCAAGGGGAGGGGCAGTGTGGGCCTCTGTCCCTAATTTCATCAGACTGGTTTTCTCTTGAAAATAAACATTGGGTGGGATCTACATAAGATTTTACTGTAAAGTATTTCCTTGAGAGAGAAAAATATTAAAAAAATCACTGCCCTACACATAACACATAACTGTTGTTGGATACCACTGAGTTGATTTTTGACTCATAGTGACCCCATGTGATAGAATAGAACTGCCTCTATAGTATTTTTTGGCTGTAATCTTTATGGAAGGAGACCACCAGGTCTTTCTCCTGCAGAGCTGCTGGGTAGGTTCAAACCACCAAACTCTTGGTTAGCAGTCGAGTGCTTAACTTAGTTTAACTAAAAAGTCACACTGTTCCAGAATGTTCTGCTGAAAAGCCTATTCTTCTCCATGATTCAGGGCTTACACTGCTTGCAGAGACCCATCTAAGTTCCCCAGCTTCTGCCCTGACTGAGCCATCCCTTCTCCACACGCCTCAGTCCTTGTCCATGCTGCACACCTTAGCCCTTAACTGTGCACCAGCCTCTAATGTGTTTTAGAGTTTCATGTGTGCACATCTTGCTTCCAGAGTTGTGAATTCACTGACAGCAGGGACTTCTGGGGGGGATCTGTGTCTTCCTGCAGATTTGAGAAGATGATCAGTGGGATGTATATGGGGGAGCTGGTGAGGCTGATCCTAGTGAAGATGGCTAAGGAGGAGCTGCTCTTTGGGGGGAAGCTCAGCCCAGAGCTCCTCACGACAGGACACTTTGAGACAAAGGATGTTTCAGATATTGAAGGGTAAGCTTCTTGCTCTGCCACCTTTCTCTTCACTGGGTCCTTGGGAGGGTAGACTCGCAGTTGAGGATTGAGGAAAAGGCTTTTCCTTCAACTGTAGACAACAAGAGACCCTTGCCCACATGGTGGGCCTGTGGTTTTCTTGCTGCTGTGGAGTGTCTCCTGACTAATACTGACCCTTGTGCATAATAGGATTGGACCACTGTTATCCATAGGATTTTCATTGGCTGACTTTCAGAAGTACATCACCAGGCCTTTCTTCTTAGCCAAAATTATCTGGAAGGGCCAAAGCCTATTTAGCATCATAGCAACATGCAAGACTTCACTGACAGACAAGTGGTGTCTATATGGGGACGTTGGCTGAGAATTGCACTGGGATTACAAGTTGGGTCTCCAGCATGAAAGGCGCAACTTCTATAACTGAGTCACCAATGTGTCCCACGGTGTCTGTTGCCCTTGTGTGACTGCCTGACTCTGGCCTTGATTTAATGTGTGAAGTTCCCAATAGGTCTATGGATGACACATTGCATCTGCTTTCCCTCCCCTTTTCCTGAAGCTCAAACATCTCCTCCCCTATTGGCTAGTTCTCAAAAAGAACTCTATTCTGACCTCTGCTTCATAACAGGAAAATAGCTCCTTAGGTAGCCTAGAGTTTTACCTATTTCTGGATTCTGTTGAGTAGAGCTGAGACTTGCAATTTTACAAACTGGCAGGGGTCAGGATGGGGATAGACAGATTTTTGTTTTTTTATTCTGTTAACAATGTCCAAAGACAAGGGCCTAGGTTCCTGTACTGGAGACTTCCACTTGTAGGTTGAGGAGGTCTTGTTCCTTCAGGGACCAGGTGGTGGTGAAGAGGTGATTTTGGTGCTGATGGGAGCAGTGAAGCAGTTCAAATGACTTGGCTTTAAGTGGAAACTCTTAAAAGAACTGTGCCTACTGGATTGCTAATCCCCGAGGCACTTAGTTCTCCTAAGAAGGGAGGCCATGCCACACTTCAGCCCTTTACCACCATCTGTAGGCACAAGGTAAAAAAATGCCAGCTCCATTGTGGAATGATGTTACACCCTATAAAGTTGGAATAGGTAGCCAATACATCCCCACATTTTATACTTCTCACCTGATAAACCAGAAGCCAATAACCTGTGATATTCATGGGGAGGAGTGGTGGGAAATGGACCTTTACTTCTTTATTGCAAGGAAATACAGTGTGCCCCATGGCTGATTCACATGTTCAGAGATGGTTGGTGGCAGGGACATCCTTCCTTCAACCTTACCCCAAACAAGCAAACATACCACAAACTCTCTCATATACACACAAAGTTGGTGTTTAAAGGGCCAAGCACAAGACCATCTCCTTACACAAGATGTGCATAAGAAATGTTGTTGTCAGGAAAAATGAGCTTAACAGGGCACTTGGAGGGATGGGATGGAGAAGCATTCTGCGTGTGCTGGTGTATGTATATGTATATTTGTGGATGTGTGGTACACATGAGTGTGTGTGCGTGTGTGTGTATGTATATGTGTGCACACATGTGCATGTGTACATGTGTGTATATATGTATCTGTGTGCATGTGTATGTTGTCTGAGAGAGTAGCCTCAGGTTTGGCCATATTGTGTTTTACCTCCTTCTCAGTGTTCTACCCCTCATAGGTGGCAGAGCATGAAGTGTGTCTGCTCTCCCTGGCAGTAGCATGTGCTGGATCTGAGGAGTTTCTTTGCCAGCCCACATACCCCTTTCCCACTGGCCACAATGGGCTGCACACAGTGCCCATGGGTTCTCTTTCTGTTTCCCCAGGGAGAAGGATGGCGTCCGGAGGGCCCATGACATCCTTGTGCGGCTGGGCATAGACCCAACACAGGAGGACTGTGTGGCTACTCACCGGATCTGCCAGATTGTGTCCACACGCTCAGCCAGCCTGTGTGCGGCCACACTGGCAGCTGTGCTACGGCGCATCAAAGAGAACAAGGGAGAGGATCGACTGCGTTCCACCATTGGGGTGGATGGCTCTGTCTACAAGAAACACCCCCAGTGAGTCTGAATTCAGACTGAGCAGGGCTAAGCTCCAGAGCACCTGGAGACCTCTGACAGGTTTGGGAGACTGAAATGACTCCATGGGCATGGACAAGCTCCATTTTGCATTTTGGGAGTGTAGATGGGTCATGGATCTTTGTAGAATAAAAGACTAAGAGCCCAGATGGACCAGTGGAAACTGGGAAAGTGTTTTCCTGGTGTGGGTGGAGGTAGTTTCTAAAGGCCATCAATAGCTTGGGGTCTACTCAAGCTCCTCTGGCCACTGGGGATCTTTTGCCAACCTTTCTGTGAGTTAGTATTTCTCTCTACTACTTTCTTCTTTGACTCTCATGACCCTTGGGGGTTCCATCAGATGCTGTGTCCTCTTCCAGGGACTACCCCAGTCTAGTGAATTGCTAGCTTCCTCAGGTGACATTGGTATTGAAGTGATCCTGCCCTGCCTCTGAGTTTTGATTATTAGGTGCCAAAATATTCAAATTTCACCTGGAAGAAATCTTTCAATTCCTATGGGTACCCCACCTTTGCCCCATTATTAACATAATTGTTTGATGCAAAAGGCCTCAGCTCTGAGATTTCCTAGTCTCCTAGCCCAGTACTTCAAAATAATTAACATGCCCATGAATCACCTGGGGAATCTTTTTGAAAAGCACACTATAATCCAGAAGGTCTAGAGTGGGCCTGAGATCATCCTGAGTTTCTAGCAGACCCTGTTATCCAGATACTGCAGGCTGCAGACCACAGTTGGAGTAGTAATGCTCTGGAGACCAGGGCTCAAAACAGCCTCCTCCCAGAGAAAGTTGTGCTGAATGTGCCTATTGTCTTCAGCTGTTCAGATAACTCTGGGATCATTGGCAGAAAAGAGAGGACCAAGTCCAGAAGAAGAGCATTTCTAGTTTGTCTATTTTGGGTCTTTCCCAGGCAGCATCTAATGAAATGAGTGATGAAACATGAAAAGCAGGTGGAGATGATTTCACTTGGGCTGCTCCAGCAAAACAGCCAATTATACCTATGTTGGGCAGAGGAGCCAGTGGGCCAGCTTGTTTAGGTCTTATGTGACCTCATGCAGAGGATAGTGTCTTAGAAGCATCCTCTCCTTTTAGCATAGGGGTGAGAGAACCCAGCCAGAGTCATCACAGTTGAATATCTGAGTGTTTATACAATGAGCCCTACCTTAGGGAAGAGAGGGAGGGAAGGTTTTCGGTCAGTATCTGTTCCTACAGGTGCTCATGGCATTTGGGCTGAGGTGGTGAGCTCTTGCCAACCAAATGCACCACTGACCCTAACCATAGCCTGTCGTCTTCCCATGTTGGTGACTGTAGTTTCGCCAAACGTCTTCACAAGGCTGTGCGGCGCCTGGTGCCCAACTGTGATGTCCGCTTTCTCCGCTCTGAGGATGGCAGTGGCAAGGGAGCAGCCATGGTGACAGCAGTGGCTTACCGACTGGCTGATCAACACCGAGCCCGGCAGAAGACCTTGGAGCCTTTGAAGCTGAGCCATGAGCAGCTGCTAGAAGTTAAGAGGAGGATGAAGATAGAAATGGAGCGAGGATTAAGAAAGGAAACTCATACCAGTGCCCCTGTCAAGATGCTGCCCACCTATGTGTGTGCCACCCCTGATGGCACAGGTACGTGGGAGGGTTGCCGCCTGGCTCGTCATGGTGGGCCTTTGCCCTGGTGTTGATGCTCTGGGAGGGCTCCCTTAGCTTTAGCATAGGACCTGAACCTGCTTATTTCACTATATTACTAGAGAATCTAGTGTTGTATAAACTTGTCCAATGAATTCTTCTGCTAAAAGTTGAACAGTAATAATAGTTAATACTTACTGAATGCTTACTGTATGTCAAGCGTTTCTACAAGCACTTTACAAATATTAATTCATTTAATCTTTTGTTCACTGTTAACACTGATATGCTTGAAAATTAAGGTACAGAGAAGTTAAGAAATCTGTCCAAAATCACACAGCTAGAAAAGGGTAGATCTAGGATTAAAACCCAGGAAGTTCCAGAGCCAGCTTTCTCTCTCTCAACTGCCATATTGATCATGTACAAAGGTGAGCAAACTCTGGTCTATGGGCCAAATCCAGCCACTGCCTGTTTTGGAAAATAAAGTTTTATTGACACATAGCCATGTGTACTTGTTTACATATTGTTTGCTTTGTGCTACCACAACAAAGTTGAGTAGTTATAATGGAGACTGTTTGACCCACAAAGCATAAAATGAATACTCTCGGTCCCTTCATAGAAGAAAATAATTGATCCCTGGATTTAGGTATTTTCCCAATTCAGAGAAACATGATCAATCAGTAGGTTTGAGACTGGGATTTTGTCCCTGCTTTACTCTGTTCCAGCTGTGTGTCCCTGAGCAAGTGACTGAATCTGGCTCAACCAGGCTTCATTTTTCCATAAAAGAAGAATGAAAGGACTCCTTGCATCTGCCTAAGGGTTAAGTGAAGACTGTGTGTAAGGCATAGGGCACAACACTTGGCACATTGTAATTGCCCAACAAAGCAGGATTTTCTCATTTTAAAAGATTTCCCTTCAGTTTTTCTTGAAGAGTTAAGCTCTGCTATTCCTACTTCCATAGTGATACTGCCTTGGAAACCCAAGGAGGGGTCGCTATGAGTCGGGGCCAACTTGATGGCACATAACAACAACAACAACAACAATATGCCTTCTGTATTCTAAAATAATCTAATATATGGTGGCATTTGATTTAGCATAAGTGGTGCATTTGGATATTTTTGCGTGTAGTCTATCAACATTTCCAGTACTCTGCAGAGCTCGTTGTGCCCGCTAGGATCCTACCACTGGAACTCATTTGAGAACCTTTCAGGTGATTTGGCCTGGGGGATTTTATTTTCCTTTACTATTAGGAGCTCTGGTAGCATAGTGCCTAAGGCACTTGACTGTTTACCAGAAGGCTGGTGGTTCAAACCCACCAGCCACTCCTCGGAAGGAAGGTTGGGCAATCCTACTTCTGTAGTGATACTGCCTCGGAAACCCAAGGAGGGGTCGCTATGAGTCAGGGCCGACTCGACGGCAAACAACAACAACATTAGGTGAGGATCATAGTCCATCACCTCTGAGATTATCAAGGGGCTCCAACGAGGAGTCCCTCTCAGGGGAAGTTGCTGTAGACTCTGGCACTCTTGGCTGTGGTGAAGTGGTGATGCTTCAATTCATCCTTTTCCCTGTTTTATTTTCCAGAGAAAGGCGACTTTCTGGCCTTGGACCTAGGGGGGACAAATTTCCGGGTCCTGCTGGTACGTGTGAGGAATGGGAAACGGCGTGGGGTGGAGATGCACAACAAGATCTACACCATCCCACAGGAGATCATGCATGGCACAGGGGATGAGGTAAGGCAGGTGGTTCCTCTGGCTGAGGTGGGGGTGGGGGTGGGGGGCAGTAGATAGCCACCCACAAGGACAGCCCTGTCTCTGCTCACTATTGTCCTGGGGAGGGCTAGTGAGGCCGAGGGCTCTGGTCTGGTTTTCACTCAGATTTGTGCCTGAGCCTTGTGTTTATCACGAGTGGAGACCTTGGAGCTCAGGCCTAGGCCCTACGGGAAGGCAACCTGCCCTGGGCCTCTCCCTCATCTCCGCGACTTTCCCTGGCAGCTCTTTGACCACATCGTCCAGTGCATCGCCGACTTCCTCGAGTACATGGGCATGAAGGGTGTGTCCCTGCCTCTGGGTTTTACCTTCTCCTTCCCCTGCCATCAGAACAGATTGGATGAGGTAACATTGTTTTCTCAGGGGCTCTCCTATGGGCTTTGCTGCCACAGAGGAGCAGGGGTTTGGAGCAGGGAAGAAAGTTATGCTAAAAGGAGAAAAAGAAGGGCATGCATGATCAACAGAGAGGAGGGCCCTATTGATGGGAAAGAGGAAGTCAAGCCTGGTGGACATTAAGTGGGTTAGCTTGACTAGGACAAAGATGATGATGCTAATGAAATATTAATGACTACCATATTTTCAGCACTTACAATATACAAGGCACAATTCTAGGCTTCCCATGTGGTTTACTGCATTTAAACCTCACAGCAAGCATATAAGGTAGGTGTTTGTATGCCTATGTTGCAGAAAGGAAAATAGGCCTACAGAGGTGTCAAGTACCTTGCCCCAGATCACATAGCTTGGGAAGTCAAGCCATGATTTGAACTTAGGTTTCCTGACACCTAAGCCTATGCTCTCAGTTACGTTGATCCACTCTGAGGCCCTTATATCAGGCTCAGGGAAGTTGTCCTTCCATCTCCTGTTATTGTTCGAATGCCCTGACTTTTCCCTAGTCTTACCTTTGGTTTTCATTTCCTTTGCACTTTGTTTGAATGGCTGAAGTGGGTGCCTGGAAGTCCCAGACTAGCTCTAGCCATTCTAGACATGAGTGTTTTGAGAAGTAGAGTGAGAACTGATTAGGCAATGCTGGAGCTTGGATCTGTGTTGGTAATTGGCACATCAGATATCAGGATAGCTATGTAATTACTTGTTCCTCTGTGTCTCTATGAGTTATCTAGAAGGGTCTACATGCCAGCTACATGTGTAGAGTGTGCTGCAGACATAATCACCAGGGTACAAAAGGCATGATTCCTGCTTCAAGATGTTCACGAACTGGGCCAGTGAAACAGCCTTAGTAAGAGCTGCTGTGTGGAATGTGGTACCAATGAAATGCTAAAGCTCTGAGGACACACAAAACCAAACCAAACCCATTGTCATTGAGTCACTTCCGACTCACAGTGACCCTATAGGACAAGGGAGAACTGTCCCATAGCGTTTCCAAGGCTGCAGTCTTTATGGGAGCAGACTGCCACATCTTTCTGTTGTAAAGTGGCTGGTGGGTTCAAACAGCCAACTTTTGAATTAATCAGCCAAGTGCTTTAACCACTGTGCTACTGAGGACACACAGTGTGGTGTTAATCTGAGCATATATCTTGTTGTTAGGTGTTCTCAAGTCTATTCTGGCTCATAGCAACCCTATGTACAACAGAACAAAATGCTGCTCAATTATGCACCAACCTCATGCTTGTCTGAGCCCATTGTTACAGCCACAGTGTCAGTCTATCTCATTGAATGTCTTCCTCTTTTTCACTGACCCTCTACTTTACCAAGTATGATGTCTTTCTCCAGAGACAGATCCCTCCTGATAACATGTCTAAAGTATGTGAGATGAAGTCTTCCCATCCTTACTTCCAAAGAGTGTTCTGGCTGTACTTCTTCAAAGACAGATTTGTTTGTTCTTCTGGCCTTCCATGGTATATACAATATTCTTTGCCAATGCCATAATCCAAGGGCATCAATTCTTCACTCTTATTCATTGTCCAGCTTTTGCATGCATATAAGGCAACTGAAAAACTATGGCTTGGGTCAGGCACACCTTAGTCCTCAGTGACATCTTCACTTTTTAACACTTTAAAGAGGTCTTTTGCAGCAGATTTGCCCATGCAATATGTCATTTGATTTTTTTGACTGCTATTTCTATGGGCACATACCTTGCAACATGTCAAAAGAATGAGTTGGTGGGGAAGAAAGGCAAGCAGGATGGGACAGTGTGGGGAAGGGGGTAGAAACAAATCCGCAGGTAGAGTTAGCTTGGCCAGAATAAAAGCACCCACCACATGCCAAGGAAAGGCCAGTGTTTCCTACAGAGTCCATGGAACACTAACCTCTCAAGTTGTGCAACTGAGTTTTGTAAATGCTTTGGGCTTTTCCCCTTCAGGGAGGTAAATTCATCATGTTCACTAGCATAGTTAAGGTTTGAGGAAGTTCTGCAATGAAAACCCTGCTTAATCTATCACTTTCCAGTGCACATTAGCATGTGTTGGAACTTACTCTGGGAAATGCCCTGCTAGGGAAGGGTTACCTGAGGACCTTAACTGCCACACTTGCACTAAGGCAAATCGAACACGTTTGGAGGACTTCTCTCCAGGGTCTGGCTCACCTACAAGTAGCATCTGTTTCTTTGTTTTTCTTTGCCTTAGACTCCCTTTCCCTGATGCCTTTGTGTCACTTGGGGTCTTCTGAGAAGAAGCTCAGAATCAGTTGCCATGTGCCAGGGTGTGGGGGCAGCTTTCCTTCAGCCAGGCCATCAGGCTGCCCTCTGCCTGTGTACAGAATGGGGAGACGCCCATAGAAGGATGCAGGGGAAGAAGTGATACTTTCTGAGAGACTTGAAGATCGAAGGCGCCAGCAAGCTCCTAATTATTACTGTGATTTTTGTGCTTTCTCCTGATCCTGCCTGACAGAAATGTGCTTATGGCTCTCACTCACCTGCCCTTGAATGCTCCTGCCTCTTAGTCAGGTTCTCTGCCTCAGACTTAATCTTGAAGAGAATGAGCAAACGGCTTTTTCCCTGGGCCTGTGTAATCTGTGCGTCCCAGTGCCCATGCTGGGGCCTACAGGCTTCAGTAGCCATTTCGCTTTAAGCTTCTCCAATTCCTTTGTCTCAATATATCATTTTTCCCCCCAGTATCAATGCATTAGGTTTTCAAAGCCCTCACAGTTGCATCAATTTGGCAAAGGAAATTATCAAACATGTAGATAAATATTTATATAACACTTAATGAAGTGTTACTGGTAACAAAGAAATTAGAAGCAATCTTATTGTCCAATGCTCAGGAAATTGTTAAATAAATTATGAGCCATTTATTGCCTAGTATCAATTATTAGGTTTTTTAAAAGACATTTCAATAGCATAGGAAAACTCTGGAGGTACGATAAAAAAAAAAAAAAAAAAAATGTTGAAAAGGAAATTATAATGTTTATTTATTATAGAAAAATGTAAAAACAGAAATAAGATAAAACAACAATTAAGTGTATGTTCTTCCAGACTTTTCATACTAAAATCTTTTTAAACAGACACTATGTTGCTTGTTTTTTCATGTTAACAAGTACGTCTTTATGTATTTACCAGGTAGCCCAGAGGTATGCGTCTTAGATTACTACTTAACAACCCACTACCATTGAGTCAATTCCAGCTTATAGTGACCCCCATTGGGTTTCCAAGGTAGTAAATGTTTCCAGAAGTAGATTCCTTCTGTGGAATGGCTAGTGGGTTTGAACCGCCAACCTGTTCAGCAGTCAAATGCCTTAGGCACTGTGCCATCACAGCTCCTAGTTTACTACCTAGTGTTTTTGTAGCACAAATATCACAGGGGGGTGGCTTTAAAGAACAGGAATTTATTTTCTCACAGTTCTGGAGGCTAGCTAACACTCTTAGGGTCCTGGTCTTACTGATTATGTTATTGGTAGCCCTAGGTGTTCCTTGTTTCCTTGGCCATCTTCACATGGATCTGTCTTCCCTTGTGTGTGCATACATCTCTCTTTCTTATCTACTCTTTATGCACCAGAGTGTTTCGATTTCAAATCTAACTTACTCATGTGTGATCTAAGTAACATGACAAACCAGTTGCCTGAGTCAACTCATACTTACGGTGACCTCATGTGTGTCAGAATAGAACTGTGCTCCATAGGATGTTCAGTGTCTGATGTTTTGGCACCTCTGAGTAGATTTCACTAAACTTTTGTTTAGCAACCAAGTGTGTTATCTGTTTGTGCTACCCAGGAACTCCTATTTTCAAATAGGATTATATCCACAGGTACAGAGGTTAGGGTTTGAATGCATACTTTAGCGGGGTGGGGGGGGAGATGCACTTTAATCCATAATAAGATGTTAACTGTTTTTGTCTGAATTTATAAAATTCTGGTCATTTTACATGATTTTATTTAAGATTCTACATGTTTCTATAATGACTATGTATTAAGTCTCAAATCATAACAATTAGGAGCAAATAAAACTGAAGACAGGTCTGTACATTGGCACTGGTGAGATCATACTGGGAAAATCGGCAGGCGCTGAGCAGGATGCTGGCCTGGAGTCTGTGAGCTGCATTTACTAGCTGGTTGCCTTGGGCAAATTTCTCCAGCTATTGGGGCCTCTGCTTACTAAGGATCACCTAAAATCATGTTACTTGAACATTCTGTAAGCTCTAAAGTTTCAAATAGAAGATTTTGTCAGAGATGTGAAGCTAACTTGTAGGCAAAAAAACATGGTTCCAGAGAAGCACTCACTTGTCTGGATGGAAATGTGTAAACCAGGGCTCTGTGAAAATATTCTAAATATTTTTTTCCTGTTATCATATTTTTATTTATCCATGCAGATAAGCACTTATCATCATGATTTGAAGGGCAATTTTTCATTATTAATCAGATTGTAATAAGCAAAAATACTAGACAGAAACTTTGTACCATAAAATTATGTCCCAACAAAACTCAAAATCATTTGGATAAAAAAAAAGGGTGGGGGGCAGGTTTGCTATTGTCCAATAGAGCCTGATGGAACCACTGAGACTATGGCCCCTAGCTGCCCTTCAGGTCTGGAATTGAATCTCTACCTGTGGCTTCCAGCCAAGCAAAGACAGGCATATGAGTTGAACATTTACCTGAGGTAGATATACTCCTTGGAGAGAACAAGCATGGGAGAAAGAAGGGCTGTTTATGCACAGGGAGACAGCTCAGGGGGCAGGAGTGCATGGAGGGATGGACACAGAGAAGAGATAATTATCAGGAGGAAGGGAGCTGGTGCATTGTGGTAAATTGTGGTCAATGTCATGAGACAAAGTGTATGTGAACTTCTGTATGGAAAGTGAATTTGCTCTGTAAATCTTCACCCAAATCACAATTAAACACATACACACACACAAATTATGTCCCAAGGTATATAGGGTCCTCAGTGACAGAAAGGTAAAGAAACTCAAACAGGTCACTGCTCAGCAACCTCTCATAAGTAAAGAAGCAGAACACAGTCTGCTGCTCATGTGTATGAAGATAGTTCCCCACATAGAAATATCTTTTGTAAAAGTAAGTGAATGTCATCGTTTAATTCTGTATAAAACAACCCTTCTTAATCCCTCAAGATTTTTTTTGCTTTAAGATTGAAAAAAAAAAAAAAACATTCCCTAAGGGATACTTAGTGGAAATTATATCAAGAGCCACAGCTTTCTATGACTTACTTCCCTTACTGAATGTTTTGGAGACATTTTCTTAACTTTTCACTGTTGATTAGCCAATTCTAAAAAGGAATTTTTCAGTGGCACAATATACAAAAGAAACAGAGTAAAGTAATCCTCAGAAATATACTTCATTCAAAATATAAATGCAATAACTTTCCAGTCCATTATTTTTCCTAATGACTAAATTCTAAATAAAGAAACAGTGGAGGTTTACAAAGCAATAGTGCATGCTCACTTCTCATGACACAGTCATTTAAACTTCCCATTCAGTATGGGAACATTTTATTTCTTTCCTTAGTTTCACAGAATAATTTAGGTTTCCACCTTGGGTACAATTCTCCAAATAGAGTAAAACCATAGATAAAAGTGACATAAAACCACAATCAGTGAAGAACAAACACTTCTGAAAATAAACATCCCTGAGTATTCAATATTATGCCAACAATGATGGAAAGATCACCAATCCTAAATTCTGAATGGATTGCATGAAGCCATACCCAGTTCCTAATTCAGGAACTACATATGCCACCATTGGCCACAATGCACAGGCAAGCAATGAATAGGAGACTCTCATAAGACACGTAACAATCCAGGGATTCCACAGTGTAAAGGCCAACATCATGTGGGAAATAAGAGTGGTCGCCATTGCACACAGAAAACAGATGATGTTCTTTCCTGTTTCACCTGCTAAAAGCCCAAATACTGGGCACAGGAGAGCAGATATGACATATAAAAAAACAAACCCACTGCCACTGAGTTGATTCTGACTCATAGCCACCCAATAGGACAGAGTAGAACTGTCCCTTAGTGTTTCCAAGGCTGTAAATCTTTATGAAAGTGGACTGCCTTGTCTTTCTCCTGCAGAGCAGATGGTGGGTTTGAACTCCCAACCTTTGGATTAGCAGCTGAATGCTTTAACCACTGTGACACCAGAGGTCCTTGATAAACACCACACTGTTAATGACATTTGCTGCCTAGGGGGAAAATTTTAATTTCTCCATTAAAAAAACTTTCCCAAATCCAATAAAAGGAAACATGGCACATAATAGCAGGCACAGATGATAAAAATGAGCCACAGGGATAAGGAGAAGTCTTCACATCATTTAACTTGATAACTTTACCTATTTTTCCTTGTTCTTTATGAAAGATTTTTTTCTGCTCTCTGATCCAAATAAGCAAGGGCTCAGGGCACAGATTAATGAAAGAATACACATTATACCTCCAGTCAGAAGTGTGCTTCCAAGTGTTGTGTGACCAGCAAAACCCAATGAAGCTTCCATCTTAGAATATGGCCAACCCATGAGCTTCATGTTGACTGTACTTCCAATTCTAGCCATGCTAAGTTGGAATCCAGACACCAGGTTTAATTCTTTGCCTTTAAACCAGCTCACAGCATAGGTATTCTGGACAACTGCTAAGGACTCCCTACTTGTTCCAAATACGAACCTTCCAAATTCCATCAGCCAAAAAGCATTAAGTACTCCATGCAGAGCAAAAACAACCTGTCCAATGCAAACAAAGCAGCTAAAAATAATGAAGCCTCAGCCGTTGATGCTGAGTCTGAAGGGCAGCAGGATTATCGCAGCAAAACCAGCTACCAAGCCAAGAAAACACGTTAGTAAGAGCACCAAAAGCCAGTGTACTATGCAACTGGGGTCACAGAGGTCCACCCGCACTGTGATGACTGTGGGAATAGCAGGGGGACCTCTGCTGGCCTCCTCAGGCCACCTGCCAGCAGCACACATGCTTCCTCATCCTCTTCCTCCCATTAGGCCTGGGGAAATGTCGATGACAAGTCAGTGGCAACTGCTGGCACCCAGTGGCAGAAGTGTTGCCAACCCTGCAAGAGCTGGGTTCACTTCTGTGGAGCTTGTACTTTGTTTTTCCAAATCTTCTAGAATCTGAACACAGTGAGACACATCCAGGTAGGCTTACATTTCCAAACTCCTGAGCAGGAACAACATAGCAAGGCCTAGAAAAACCATGCAAGTGTGAGGATTGTGAGCACAAAGAACCTGTTTATAGGTGCTGACCTGCTGGGAAAGGGATCTGGGAGCCCCTGACATTTGTTTCCTGATGGGCTATGGCAGCAGAGAACACAGCAGAGAATAAAACCTGAAGCATCTCTCCCATGTTTAAGGCCACCATGCATCTGCTCCCAGAGGCATGTGACACAATGAAGGCCACATTAAAGATGAGGGGCCCACAGAGGACTCTAAGCAGCCTAGAGGGGTTGGGGAGAAGCCCAGACATCACCCTGGTGGTGGGCAGGGCACTTGCCCACCAGCTATTGGAATTTGGAAATTAAGAAATGCACAGTGTTCCTTCTGCTATAAATATAGGATGGGTGTAGGGCAAGCTGCTTTGCACAGTGAAAGAAACAAGCAAATAAATAGAGCAATGGCAGATGCTGTTAAGAGCTATGAAGAAAAAGGAAGCTGGGTGAGGAGAATAGATAGTGTGGTTGGAACTGGGAAGGAATGCTGTTTTAAGTAGTTTAGCCAGGAAAAGCCTCTATGAGGAGGTAACATTTAAGTAGAGACTTGAATGAAATCTTCATGAGCCATGCTGCCTGGTGCTTCTAGGCCTGTGTGTTGGAGTTGTCAGGTCTCGGGGTGACTGCTTCAAGCCATAGGGCTTGGGCAGATTACTCCTCAGTTACTGAAAGAGTGAATGGGAATGATGAATGTTTCACAAGGTTGCTGTGAGGATTAAATTATGTAACACATGGGATGTGCTTAGCTAGGTACCTGGAACAAAGTAGGTGCTCAGCAAACTAAAGTGAGTGTACCTTAGAAACCGGTTTAGAGTCATTGGTGGGCAAGATCATTGGTTACTTTAGGGAATCTGTCTAACCTGTGAAGTCGAGAATTAGAACCACACACAACTGGACCTCAGGGAATGATTTGGGAGCCCTTCCCTGATACCTTCATCCCTGTCACCTGTGATTTTTAGAGCATTCTCCTCAAGTGGACAAAAGGCTTCAAGGTGTCTGGCTGTGAGGGAGAGGATGTGGTCACCTTGCTGAAGGAAGCGATTCACCGGCGAGAGGTGAGAGAAACATGGCCTGAAGCTCTAAGCTCCCCAGTGTCTTAAATTATCTGTGTTTCAAAACATGAGGAAACATAAAGTGTAAAGGTGTTGGTTGGGCATTGAGCAATTATTGAGTGTCCACTGTGTGTCAAGGTGCTAAGGGTTTAGCATTGATCACAACAATGCCTTGACCCACATGTGGCATACATTCTGTAAACAGACTCACAATCCAATGTTAGGTGTTATTAAGAGCTATGACAGAAAAATGGAGTTGAGTGAGGAAGATTAGATAATGTGGTTAGGTCTGGGGAAGGGACAGTGTTTTAAGTAGTGCAGTCAGGGAAGACCTCTGTGAAATGGTGACATTTGAGGAAAGACTGAAATGAGATGAGAAACTGAGCCACATTGTGTAGGATAAATTTGATATTCATATAAATCTCTTTTGCAAGTGTCTAGAAAGAGAATAATGGTTCATTGTGGACTGCTGTCTGCTTCTGCCCTCTCAGGAGTTTGACCTGGATGTGGTTGCTGTGGTGAATGACACGGTTGGAACGATGATGACCTGTGGCTATGAGGATCCTCACTGTGAAGTTGGCCTCATCGTTGGTAAGGACCTGTTCTGTGTGGGGATTGCCTGGAGTTGGCCAAACTCAAGGTTAAGGGCACAGTCCTTTAGACTGCTAAGTCTGCCCAAGACTTCAGACACCAGTCCCAAGTTAGGATATCCCAGGGCCACCCTCAATTTTGACCAGCTAGCTACAAATTCAGGGGTTCCCATGGATTTCCTCAGGTTTGATAATTTTCTAGACTGACTCACAGAACTCAGGAAAGCACTATACTTATGATTATAGTTCTATTATAGCAAAAGAATAGAAATCAGAACCAGCTAAAGGAAGAAACGCATAGAGCAGAATCTGGGACTGAAAGACTTCCAAATGTGAAGCTTCAGGATCCTCAGAGACCTGTCACCCTCCTGGGATGATGTGTAGCAATACATGCGTGGAATATTGCCAACACAGGAAACTAACCTGAGCTTCAGCGTCCATCCAGAGTTTTTACTAAGGCTTCATTATGTAAGCATGATTGATTGATGTTTTGTCCACCTGGTTGAACTCTGTCTTCAGTAACTCCTTCCCCTACATCAATATCACATGGCCCAAAGCTCCAACCCTCTAATCACATGGTTGGTCTTTCCGGAGTGGCCAACCCCTACTCTCTTTAGCATAACCATTAGGTGTGGTTGAAAGGGCTCGCCATGAATAACAAAGGTACTCCTATCCCAAGGCTTTAGAGATTTCACCCCAAGAACGAAAACAAAAGCCTAATCTCTCTTTTGGTGATCCAAATTCCTTACTACAAAGGCAGACAGCCTTCTGAGTAGAAGATGGCTCTGATGTCTCTGTGATTGTCAGGCACAGGCAGCAATGCTTGCTACATGGAGGAGATGCGGAACGTGGAGCTGGTGGAAGGGGAGGAAGGACGGATGTGTGTTAACATGGAGTGGGGTGCCTTCGGGGACAATGGATGCCTAGACAACTTCCGCACTGAATTTGATGTGGCCGTGGATGACCTGTCCCTCAACCCTGGCAAACAGAGGTGGGCACTCAACCTCATGTGGACCTTTTACATGTACCCCAGATCTGGGCAGTGATGTGGGATTGGATTCTCTCCAGTAGCATTTCCCAGGATACTAGTTCTCTCTCAAGATGTTAAGATGGATCTTAGTGAATAAAGGAGTTGTTGTTAGTTGCTGTTGAGTCTATTCTGACTCATGGTGACCCATGTGTGCAAAGGAGAACTGCTTCATAGGGTTTTCAAGGTTGTGACCTTTCAGATGCAGACCACCAGGCCTGTCTTCCAAGGCACCTCTGGGTGGATTTGAACCAGCAATCTGTCAGCTGGTAGTCAAGTGCTTAACCATTTGTGCCACAAAAATACTCCTCAAGATGTTGATAGAAGAAATTTCCAAGAGATAAAAGTCTCTTGTCTAATAAATTTAGACAATTCTGGGTTAAGTCCTTTGTGCCCTGCTGTGCTATGACACTGTATCAGTCAGTCCAGTTGGGAAAACAAATCACAGCAGTTATTCTACTAGGAGAATATATTATGGAGATGTATTTACACAGATTTTAGAAGACACTGAGGAACACAGAAGTAGTGTAGAAGAAGCAACTCCCACCCCAAGCACTAGGAGAACATAGGGGAGAGTATTAGAACTTATGCCTGGGACTGTGCAGAAAAACAAATAGAAACTAAGCCACCTGCTGCTGTCAGTGTGAAGAAGCATGGCTAACACAGACAGGAACAGGAAGCAAACAGAAGGAGCAAAGCCCTTCTTCCTCTTTCAGCCATCCAGTGTCTGGTACCCCTTGCTGCCAGCCTAGCACCACAGAATTTAGACGTGTGGATCTGAACTGGGAAAATAGCTTAAGATGATCCAACACATTTTCTGTCAGGGAAATGTTGCATGTAGTATTTCTTAACCAGATTAATCAGGGACCATAGTTGTGCGGAATACACTTTGCAAAACATTTATCTAGAGAATAGGTCACAGATTAAAGCACCTCCAGAGGCCAGGCAGGCAACATTAATGAAGGCAACTACACTTTGCAAAACATCTGTCTAGAGAAGAGGTCACAAAGGCCAGGGAGGCAACATTAATGAAGACAGCAGGCCTGAGTAAGGTAAGAGGAAGTGGCAATAGGGCCTTGGTTGAAACTGGAGACCCCAGCTTTCTTTAAGATACTATGTAGGGCCCAAAGACCCTCAAATTACTGTTTATTCAGTTTCTGTTCTAGTGGCCAGCACAGGATATCTTTATCTGGCATTTGTTACTTGAGTGGGGGCAGTGGTTGTTCAGTGAATTCAGAGAATTCAGGTGGCAGAATTCTCACCTCCCTTGCAAGGGCTCTGGGTTCATTTCCCAGCCAGTACACCTCAAGTGCAGCCACCACTGGTTGCCATTGGAGGCGTGTGTGTGGCTGTGATGCTGAATGGTTTTCAGCAGGCTAAGACAAACTAGCCAGTGAAATTCTGTGGATCACAACAGTCCAATCCATAGCTGATCATGGACATCGCTCAAGACTGGGCAGTTTTTTTCTTCCTTTGTGCATGAGGTCGCCTTGAGTGATAGTGATTGGGTCAAAGGGAAAGTATGTTAACTGCCAAGTGAAATTAAGGATTAAGACTCAGAATTCTACTCTTTTCCCTGGAAGTGGGGTGGGGTGAGGATGAGTGTTTTTTCTTGAGGAGTCAAGAATAAGCCTTTGAAAGGAAATGAGCCTAGAACATGGGGCTGATCCTGGGGAGCCCCATAAGCCTCAGACACTGGGCTCAGTTATACTGAAGGTGGTGGTGGACCATCATGAGTGGACATTAAGAACCCTGCAAATGAATGGGTAGCATTTCCTCTTCTACCAGGGGGACTCTCTCCCCTTTTTAATGTGTGGAAGTCACTAAGCTGTTCTGCCCACTCTCAAGACATCTCACCACCTTCTTCCTTCCCTCCATTGCAGGTTTGAGAAAATGATCAGTGGCATGTACCTGGGTGAGATTGTCCGCAATGTCCTCATTGATTTCACCAAACGTGGACTGCTTTTCCGTGGACGCATCTCAGAGCGACTCAAGACAAAGGGAATCTTTGAAACCAAGTTCCTGTCTCAGATTGAGAGGTGAGAGTTTAAAGTCTATGGTAGGATGATGCCAAAAGGACATAGGGGCACTATCTTCATCTGACCTCTAACTTCATCAGGGGGAGACAAAATCAACATCAGCAGCTTAAGGTTTATTCTTATGAGGGCAGGCATGCCACCATGCTGCAGCCTGTTTACCATTTCTGACACCAACTGTCCCTCCCAAGGCACTCACTACTTCTCTTTTGTGTTCAACAATTCATTGCAGTGTCTACCCAGAACTCACAGACAATATTCACAATTATGGGATTTATTAGGGAAGTGGCAGGCTACAATTCAGGTTTAGGAACACCTGCAGGATACAGTTCTTCAATCAGGACAATCTCCCCTCTATCATGCCTTCAGACATGCCTCTCTGGCCCTTGGCCTCTTGGCCTGGCCTCTTGTCCTGCTTGGGCAAATGTTAAAAAGCTCTTTTAGCTCTGCCAATATGTGCACCTAAGTGCACCCTACTCTGCCAGCAAAGCTTTCTTACTCCGTGGGCTGGGAAGCCCACTGCTCTGTTTAGTGCCTCTTGGTTCCACTGCCGCCATGTCTCTGCCACTGTCTGCCAAGGTGGTCCGTGTGAGAATCTCAGGTGCAAGGACATGCTCTACTCCACCTCTGGCTCATCTCTCTTGATAGCAGTGAGATCCCCTCTTCTGCCTCTAGGAGGGCTCATTTTAAGCCTAGTTGAATGACAAAACTAACCAATCCCACATTAGGGTTCCATACATCTTATTTGCATGGTCCCACCCCCACAAGGGGAGCTCTGGTGGCATAGTACCTAAGGCATTTGACTGCAAATCAGAGAGCTGGCAGTTCAAACCCACCAGCCACTCCTTGGA